CAATTGATGCACACCACGCAAAGCGCATTTAGCATTTATGATATTTATGCTCAATTAGTGTCGCTGTTGCCGTGTGGCGATTTAGCTGGAGATCTTTCCCCCAGTCTCCCCCCATAGCGAGTGTGAAGTTTCAGCTTGATTTGATGGCTGCAAGCTGAGTTACATGAGGTTAGTCGAGAGACGACTGCTGGACACTATTTATATGTACTAATTTTGGTGTTTACTACAAGTATGTGAAGTTTCAGGTTGATTTAATAACTGGAACCGGAGTTACAAGAGGTTGGTGGCAAGACAGGTACTGATTATGCTGTTTATGGCAGATATAAGATTGATTTTATGGCTGAAAGTTGAGCTATTTGAGTGCTGAGTTATTTAATGTGGGTATTTTACAGATGAACGAATACTGTAATACTAATTTTCATTTTAAAAAGCAATAAGTTAAATTTTAATTTGATTTGATGACCACAAGCTGAGTTCCTTGAGATTTATTTTGTGGATAGCTGTGGATAGCTATTAAAAACCGCTCAAACACAATACCCACATACTTCTCAATGCCCACTTTAGTATGATGTGAAATTTCAATTGACTAAGACGACTGCAAGCTGAGTTACTTGAGGTCATTGCATAGATGGATGCTTCATTCGATTGAAAATCGGCTAATTACCGCCTAAACATATCACATGGGAAATTTGAAGTGCGTTTGATGGCTAGTTCCCAAGTTACTTGAGGACACTCCACTCGGCCGGCTTCAATTAGCTTCAATGGCTATTCATAATTAATGCCATAAACCGGAAAGAGAGGGAAACAGCAAATAATAATCATAATAAAAATTGATCAAGCACACACACACACACACATACAAACAGGCACACATAGTTCATGAACTCAATTTTTAATAATAATTTCCAAATGATTTTTTATTTCACATTATTAGTTGCGTGGTAGTTCAGATCGAGATCGAGTTCGAGTTCTCGGGTTCTCGGGTTCAGATCGCCATCTCCACCCACAAGCTTTTAATTGTTCGATTTTCATTTCGATTCGTCTCGTTTCGTTTCGATTCGTTCGTCGCATTCTGCTATATAGATACGATACAATATTGTACGATGTATGGATGGTATGGTATGGTATGGTATGGTATGGATATTTCGGTTGCTGTTCGCTTCTGTTTTAATTTCCGTGCTGACAAATTAATTTAATTATATTAACATATCTTTCCAGCGATCGAACGATTGAACCGACTGAAATATTTTCGTCTGTTTTTTGTGTTTGTCTATATGTCGTACGTATTCTGGTGCGTTGTGTGTGGGTGGTTGAATTCGGTCTGTGATTCTTGGTATAACCCCTTTTTTTTCCCGGGGTCTCTGACTCATTAGCTGGCTTCTGTGCCCGAGAGCGAGTAAATTGCACTTAAAACGCTAAAAATTATACGACACACGCCGCTCCGTCCATTCCACCGATCGGATCTCTATCTGTATTTTGTATCTGTATCTGTATCTGGTATGGTATATATATACGGTAACTCATATCTGGGGTATCTGTGTGCGCCCGGGCTTCCGAAGGGCTTAAAGGACAACCCTTGGCTGCTCATTTTCGATTTTCGGCATATGCAAATGCCTTCGACCGGAGGATAGACGCCATCTTTGAAAATTAAACTTTATAAACTATCAATGCTCGTCCCCGGCACTTCGTATTTCGTATTGCGTACTCTATATCCGTATCTGCATCTGTGATGGTGCCGGATGGTGGTGGTGACTACCCTATAAACCGGTTTCAATTCGATTAAAAACGGAACCCAAACTCGATTTTCTCTCATCTTTTCATTTTAATTTTGGATTTTGTAGTTTTTTTTTAAGTCAGCAAATGCATTTGGCAATTAGTTTGGTTTTGTTGTCTTTCCCTATTTTCAGTATTTCTCGTTTGGATCAGCACAAATCAAATCAATGACAAAAAACCTCATCTTTCGTCTAGTTTTTGGGTTTTCGGATTTCGGTAATTGTAGAAGCTACAAACAAACGAAAAAAATCTGTTCGATGTTAATGGGTCAAGTTTATAGATTGCATTACGGAAATTAATTTTGCTCTTTTTTTACTTCTGGTTCTTCTTTGGTTTGCTGCTTCTTGTTCTTGCTCTTGTTTTTTAATACTATTTTTCTGTGATCGTTTTTTTTCGGTGCCACCGTTCTATATATTTAATGACAAAACTTTGTGTTAATCAAGCACATTTTTATTGTTGCCTTTTCGATTTCGATTTGTGTCAATTTTTTCGCGCGCGCTCTGTTCTTGAAATGTAAATAAATAAATAAGAGAAATACTATAAAAAGTATTTCATCAACTCATTTGGACAGCTGTAGACGTCTGTCTGCGGTTTGTTTAATTTACTTAATAAACTTCTATTTTTGGTTGGCAAATTAAGAAATTCTTGAATAACCTTTTTATTCGCCGTAGAGAAATGGTATTTATGGATCGAGTTCTAATTTTGTTCTCTGCTCTCACATAAAAAAATGAAAAAGATACATAAGTTGATCAGCTTGCGAAGGCATGACGAAACCTTTCAAATATTGATTCATTGATTACAATCGATCATTGGTCGAGGGGTCTTGAAAGTTTTGGGTGCCTCGAAGCTTTTGAAAGCCATCAAATGGTCGTTAGGAACAGGGGAAAAAAGATCGCAAGACATGGGTGTATTTATATAGGGTTTTTAAGGTTTATCTAAAATAATTATATAAAATATCTAGTTAAATATTATAATAGGATACAAAAACCAGTTCGAGCATTTAAGAAATCCCCTTTGATAAAATCCTGCGGACACCCCTGATTTTAAACAATCCTAACGAGTTCTGCGGTTCATAAAGTTCTTCTTAGATCATCAAATATAATACTACAAAATATATGAATACTTATTTTAATATGGTATAAAAATCCCGTTCTGATATATTTAAAAATCCCCTTTGCTAAAATCCTGCAGACACCCCTGTCTTTTAAGAATCCTAACGGGTTCTGCGGCATCTCCTTGGATTATCATATATAATACTACAAAATATTTAGTTAAATATTTTAATACGATAATATAAAAAACCCGTTCTGATATTTTAAAATCCCCTTTGCTAAAATCCTGCGTACACCCCTGACTTTATACAATCCTAACGAGTTCTGCGGCTTCGTTTTTTTTTTATTTCTTTGTTGTGGTTCTCGAGAAAAAGTCGATAGGATGGCTTTGCGTTTTGCTTATTCAAGTTTTATTGATTGCAGTTTGCATCGCCACATCTTGTAGGAAAATATTTTTGTAGAGCGTGGAAAACGCCATTCACCGACGGCAAATGTCTAGATTTTCCGGGAAATTTTCTTGGCTGTCTGTCTCTCTAGCTTTTCAGGATCAATCGAAGAAGAGACTCCAATTAAAAATGTACCCGCCTGTCGACGCAACCTAATTAACTTGCCAAACCATATAGAGGGTATATTTTTGTATATGTAGGAGAGAAATATTCAAAAATATACATAAATTCGAGTTGATATTTCCATGTCTGGTCTGGCAGTTTTTATTTTCGCCCTTTTTTTTGTGCATCTAATGTTATTTTGCCGCCTTATTTGTTGGGAGTCTGGCATTTGGCCAGCGAAATTCTTAGCAACGTCTGGCCCCCGCCCCCCGATTTTCCACGCCCCCTTCCCTCAGCATTATCTCCTGTCTGGCCGATCTTGTCTGGCTATAGGTTTTTTATTTTTACTATTTAAAAAATACTAAGGTAGCTAAAAAGAAAAACTTATCCAAGCAATAAATTGTTCAATTATTATTTGCTTGTTGCACTTTGCATTTTTCCCCTTTGTCTTGTGTAAACAAATTTTTCAGAAATCAATAATAGCAAAAACAACAACTAAAAAACAACAAGAAAATAAATTTACAACAAGAAATTAGACAACAATAACGGGGCAGCAACAATAAAAACACATTTGCCATAGACACGCAAACTCAATTAGTTAACTTAAGTTAAGTTAAGCAGTTGGCGGGGCAAAAATATGGGGGCTGCAGGGGGTTAAAGTGGGCGGCTGGGCGCTCAAGGGTTATTGTTGTCAATTGTGGGAGTTTCAAGCAAATGCAATATCATAGAACTCGGAAAACTATTCACATACGTTGAAAACTGTGAATGAAACTTGATTTTCGGTATTTTCATAATATTATTGTTTTCCAAGCTAATCAAATATTATTTATTGGGAAGTTTCGATCATACATTCCTTAAAAATTTTAATATTTCCCTGTTCCCAAATCAAACTATTCCATTTATCTAAAATTCACTCAAAACTTTTCACTTAAAATTTCAGAATTCAATTTATTTCATTCACTTAAGATCTTATATGGTTTATCAAATACCCAAAACCCTTTATTTACATGAAAATATGCAGGGCATTTTTTTTTTAGATACAACACTTGAAAACTTTGGGTGTCACATTTTGTGAATCAAATTTGATTTCATTCATAACAACATTGCCAAACCACAAGAATCAAATTATAAACCGCTTATAACAGGTGTAATTTAACCTTTTTGCTGTCTAAATTGAAATGCATTTATAGAACCTGAGATTCACAAAAGACCATCTTTTTGGAACTGACAAAAATAAAAACCGTTGAGATGCTGTTTTTGAAAACACTGATTAACAGATGTAATATTATTTATAGGAATGGATATTTATGGGAGCCATTTAGCTCGCTTCCTTTATAGGAACAGGTGTAATATCACCTATATATCATGAGTTTAAAATTCCTATTGACTTTTGCATGATGTTGATATGGTATGATATGGATCCATTATAATGCCAACTTCACTAATACAGTAAGTTTAAATTCCAATTCACCATTTTACTATGTTAATATGGTATGATATGGATCCATTATGACACCAACTTCACCCATTTCGTAAGTTTAAAATTCCAATTGACCATTTCATGATGTTGATATGTCATGGATCCATTATGATACCAAGTTTTCCGAGTTTTCGCGACTTTTCTTACCTGTTGCCAAAACTGTGCCAATAAATAAATTTGCTCCTTTTTGAAAAACCAATCGTTGATTGATTGAACAGCCGTCAGATCCATATCGGCTGTCCCAGCGGCTTGTGGCAATGTTGGCTGCATTCGTGGGCTTTCTTGGGTTAATTCAATTCTCAGTCAGTTCTTGTTTCGGTTTTTGGTTTTTGGTTTTTTCGTTTTTGTGTTCTCTTAGTTTTTGGATTTGGATTCTACCAATTTGGGGCTAATAAGGCCTGGCATTATATGTGTTCTCGATATTTTTTGTTAGTTATAATGGATTTGTTGTTTGTTTATTTGTTGTTGTTTTTTTGTTATAGTCATCACATTTACACCTTAAGTATTATGTTTTTGTTACGTGCTCAAAAAAATTCATAAACAAGCCAATTTCTGTGTGTTATTATTATTGTAATGGTTATGTTTCTTGATTTTTTTTAACTTTAGTTCCGAAAATTAATTTCTTGTAAAGGGGGGCTTTTGTTGTTGTTGTTGTGTGGGGGGGATTGTTGTAGTTGTAGTTGTTGTAGAATGGTGAGGGTTTGCTGTTGTTGTTTTGGTTGTTGTTGCCTGTTGTTGTTGTGTGTGTGATTTTCTTTCTATTCAAGCCATTATTATAACAAATATTATTATTATTATTATTATTGTGTTGCTGTTGTTGTTGTTGCTTTTTGGCTATGGCTTATTTTGCACATGTTTGCTGTCGTTGTTGTTGTGGCCGCTGTAGCTTTTGCTTTTGCTTTTGCTGTTGTTGTTGTTGTTTACACTTGACACTCATACACGCGCACATATTTTTGTTAGCGAACAGAAATACACTTGAAAAAAATAATAAACAGTTTCTCTTTCTTCTTTCGCTTAACGCTTTTCGTTCGTTTTAGTCCTTCTTCGTGGTTGTTGTTGTTGTGTGCTTGGTTTTTGGATGATCTTTACCGTTTCTTCTTCTTGGCAAGCGAGATTCTTTCATTGATTTCCATTGATATAATTTGAATTTGACTTTTGATAATTGTGTGGGTGTGGTGGGGGGGGTTTGGATGTGATTCTTCTGCACACGCACACACACACACACGCACACGCACACGCTCACACACGAGGTTTTGGTAGAGAGTAGGGGGGCACACACGCACACACACCCGCGCCGCGGCTGAAGAAGAAGAAGAGCAAGCAGCAGAAGAAGAAGCAGAACCAGCAGCAGAAGAATGCAGGCACTGCCTTCTCAGCGGGGCCGTGTAGAATCCAACAAAAATCTTCTGAAATTCTCGATTTCTTTCGGCGACGGACGAACGAAGCGACGTTGCCAGTCACGAATGCTGTTGATGACTGAACAAATCGAACGTTAACGAAGCGCCGACAACCCTCTGCCGCCGAGAGCGCCGGCTGCGGCGTCCGCAGCGGCAGAGGGCGCCACAAGCACACACACACACGCACGCCTACCCTCCTCTGCTCACTCACTCACTCGCTCGCTCTCTCTCTCGCTCGCTCTCTCGCTCTCGAGAGAATCTCACTCAATTTTCCTGCACTGCTTTTGATTTCTTTCAATAGCTTTTTGATTTTCTCACTTTTTTTTTGTCTCCTTCCCCTCTCCCCCTTTTTTTTCTCTCTTTTACTTTTATTTACCTTTTTTACTCTTATTTTGAGCATTTTTCTGCGCCGCCGCATGTCAGTTGCATGTATTGAAATTCATTCATTCACAGACACTTGGGCTATGGCCCTCTCGCTCGCACGCCGCTTTTCTTATTGGAAACGAACGAGCCAACCGCTCTCTTCTCTCCGCTCCGCACCTCTCCTTGCCGTTTGTTGTTGCTGCTGTTTATTGAGCGCAGGATTGAGTGCAACGTCGACTGCGACGCCGGCAGAGGGATTTCGGTTGCGGATTTTTCAAAACTTATGATTTTTTTTATTTTGGGTGTTGAGTGCAGGGGGTTTACCTGAAATTAGTATTAAGTTCGCTTCGGGAGTTCGGAAATTGCCAAGGATTTTTAACGCAATTTTTTAAGGAAATGCCAAAATTTCTTTGTAATATCCGGAACTCAAAATCAGGTTTACAGGTGTTAAAAGAAAAATATATCAAAGGCGAAAATATATATTCTTAAAAAAAACCAACTGAAAATATTCAACATAATATATAGTAATATATGTTTTTATGTAACATTTCAGTTTATAAATCCGAAAAATTTTATTTTCTTATTTGTGTAAAAAATATCACCTTTTACAAAAGGATTGTTAAAAATAAATGCTTTATTTAAGAATCCAAAACTCTTAATTTAAATATGCATTTTAAAAAATAGTTTTCTATTTCTTTTTATTGAATTCCCAGACTAATTTTAAGAGTTTCCAAAAATATTTTTGGATTTAGAACAATCTATCTTTGACCCCTTTGAAGTAATTTTGTGATGTACCTTAAATTGCAATCCAAACTTAATTCCCATGACTGCCTCTGTTTGGCTCCTCAGAAATCCATGGAATATTAAATGGGCCCCCTGCCCAAACCCCCCTGGTATTTCGTCTTTTTTCCGCACACCCCTGGAATTTTGCTGTCCCGTTGCGGGATTTTCGCATAAAGAAAAGTTCAAATTGTATCGAAGTGCCAAGTGCAATGCAGACGCCCCCGCCCCCTGGTTTTTCCCGCCCCTATTTTTCCTCCTTACCCATGATTTTGGGGGGAGGGGGGCTGGGATTTTCCATGGGGTTATGGCTTACACCTAAACCGAGACTCAGAAACCAAGTCGCAGTCGCAGATGCGTTGCTGCAGTCTGAGAGGAAAATCGGTTGAAAGGCGGGTAAAAATGGGTGGCAGTATGGGTTAAACGGGGTGTACGGGTAGTATTGGGGGCTTGGATCTGCTCGGGGACTTTGTCGTCGGCTGGCAAATAACGAAAATAACGGGAGAGCCGAGAGAAAGGGCAGCGCCACCTACACGAAGACAAAAAACGATGCTCGGTTCCGCCGACTCCGACCAAAAATATACTCACCCCGAAAAAAAAATACTCGTTTCGTTTTATTACTCTGGGTTTTTTAATCCAAAGGTAAGGTTCTTAGCCACATATTATTGGTTATGACAATTGGTATTATTTTTCTACACATTCGTTAATAAATTCTGGCTATAAAAGTATATTATGTTAAAATATCTCAAAACTAAGATATATAGATAATAGAATAATTAATATAAAAAAACAAGTAATAATGTTTTTACTTCTTTTTCAAAATAAGTAGAGTCGCTACGTTAACTGGATATTTTTTTAAGTTAAGGAATTTCCCCAAATACACAGATTAAAAATTTAATTATTACGTTTGTTTCATAATTGGTTAAAAGTTTAACAAATATATTAAAATAATAAATATAATCTATTGAAAATTATGTTACTAGTAACTATTCTTATTATGTTAATAAAACATACCTGTAACTATTTGTTATAAACTAAATACCTCTTAAAGATCTAAAAATACTTAACTTTTTCCTCTCTAAATCAAAAAACAAATAAATTGCATCTTAAACCCCTCAAAATTCCCACAAAAATCAAGTGTCTCTGCCAACCAGCTAAATTCCAACTGGATTATAATCAGCGAAACCCAAACAAGCACTCAACCTAGAAAGCACTCAATATTTTCACTCACCCAGTCTCTCGTTTGAGTCGAAATTCCAAGGGGTTCGAACTTGTTTTCGAAACGTTTTCGAACTTGTTGAGTCGATAAGGCTTGTATGAAGAATTCCCATTTATTGGAAGGCGATTCTCTTACCTGTTCGATGGCTTTTATACCGATCCAATATTTTTAGAATGTTTTCCTTAGTAGCTTGATATTAAATATATTATATTTCCTATCTATAATGTCGATTGGCAGAACAATAATACAACATCGATTCAGTTAAAAATGAACATTGAAACAGCGCTTACCCAGATCGAATAAGATCAATTGATTTAAGGGTTCCAGATATGTATTGGATTGTAATTTCTTATAGAATAAATTAATATTGGATTTAAAAAATTAATTTATAGGTATAGTAGTAGTAAATAGTAGTAATAACCAAGTAATTATTATTATTATTTGAGATAGGGTTTATCAAGAAGGTTTTAAGACACACTATTATTAGATATTATTATTATGTTATTGTTAATATTATTTATTCCAATATTTTAATTTATTATTTAATTCATTAAATAAAAGCATATTACTTTGGAATACTTTTAGTTTCTTATTATTTTTAACCGATATTATAAGCACTTAAAATAATATTCCTTAATACAACTTTATAAAAATGTATAAAGTCCGAATAACTAAAAATCCGAAATAATCCTTAACCCTTGATCGCGCGATTAACCCGCCACAGAAAAAGCTCACTCAAGCGCCGAAAAAAAGCACTCAGTTGACAGGCGCTCTCAATTTTCGATAATTCGCATAATAAAAACCAAACCAAATCGCACACACACACACAGACAAGTGTCACATAAAAAGTCGAAGAAGAAGCGCGGCGGCAGCGACGCCGACGCAGGCAGCGGCAGTGGCAGAGGGCAAAAGACAGACAAAAAAAGAAGAAAAAACCGAAGCAAACGATTTAAGCCCCGCCCCATTTGATTGGCGAGCAAAAAGAAAAGCAGAAAAACAGAAAAGTAGACGACGACAACGTCAATGGACAACACACACACACGTGTGGCAAGTGCATGTGTGTGTGTGCGATTCCGCTGCCGACGTCGCTGCTACCTGCGCAGCGGCAGAGGAGCATCCAATATCTGTTGCTCTCGCAAAAACTTACAAAAATCGACAACAAATGAGAGAAAGAATATTTAGTTCTACGAAAATTAAAAAAAAATAGTAAAAAATCGTATCACTTAATTTCTGGCTTTATTAACATTTAAAAGCTTAAGAACTAAAATCATAAATTAAAAATGCTTGTGTAATTATCAAAAAGAATAGTTTGTTCTTTTAGGATCCATTTTAAAAATATATTTAATACATATATTTAATACTTATACTTATATTTTAAGCTTATTTCCGCTAAAAATATTTCCGAAAATAAACTAGACTTTAACACAAACTAAATAAAATGTAGATTAAACATTAATTTCACACTTTAATAAGCTATCAAACATTTGTATTTATGTTATAAATGTAAAATATGGCGTTTTAGAAATTTACGAAAATAACTAAAGCCTGATAATAAAATGTAGATTACAAAATTCAGTACATTTTTAAATAAAGTTATGAAATTATGTTTTAAAATTTAACAAGTGTTCCGGTTCTTAAGTTTAGATTGTAATATTAAGATTAAGTTCTTAAGTTTAAATTATAATATTAAGATCATAATATTAATATTTAATAAGAGTTCCGGTTCTTAGGCTTAGATTATAATATTAAGATTAAGTTCTTAAGTTTAGATTTTTATATTAAGATTATTTTAAATATTTAAACAAAAGTAAGTTATTTGGCTTACATATTATATGAACTCTTATTTTTTAATCCAA